GTGTGTGTGTGTGTGTGTGTGTGTGTTGTCATATTCGCTATACACTCAAAAAAAGCATGACTGTACCAGACTGTTTCGTCGGACTTTCACTGACTCATCAGGAGGTTGAACCCCGACAGTCTGCCCAGGATGCATTTGACTGATGGATAAGGACTCACCACGTCGCCCAGAGTTATGTGAAACAACTTCAGGCGGTTAGTATAGTCGCCTTGAAACAAGTTGAAGGTAGAGTCCGTGCTAGCGATACCCATTCCTGAGAGAGAAAAGTGGTCGACTTTACTCACACCAACCTTGCAATCCTAGCAGACTGCCGGTCCAAACCCCTGACAAGAACGGTAGTAAGTCTGAGAAACTAATCTGACACAGTCATAAAACCCCCTCCACACACCCACTCAGCCACTGTGTGTGTGAGAGAGAGAGAGGGGGGGGGGGGGGGGGGGGGGTACCTTTGTCTTAATGTTGTGTAATCTGAATTCGTCTGAGAAACATGTGCGTGTGTGTTATAGAACAGCCTCAATTCCACCCCGATGAATAGATTCAGAATCAAAGCAGCCTTTGTCTTATTGCAGACAATGAAAGCATTTGAGATGTTCAACATATTAAAGCAATTTTATAATTAGACAGTTTTTTGGTTGTCCTTGGGGTACCCCTTTCATTGTTCTTGCAGCTCCCCTTTTTACTGTGCTTCTTACACACATCCCCGTGTGCCTTCACAGCCCACTTGCACGTTATTTCAGGAGGCAGAGTAAAAGGGAAGGTATGCTCCTGTGCATTTCTATTCAGAGCTTCATACTCCTGTTCATTTCACTTCAGATCTTCAGCTTATACAGTCTTTGTGTCCGTCCTTCATCTTCATACTTCCGTTCATTTCATTTTTTATCTTCATATCGTCTGTTCTTAACAATGCTCATTCGTATGCGTTTGTTAGTAGCACAAAGGGAGTGAAGGGGAGGGTGGGTGGAGGGTAAGGGATAGAAGGCGGAGTTCGATTGGAGTACGGGGCAGGGGAGGTAGGGGCAACTGGAAGGAGAGAAATATGGAGTATGGAGCAGGGGAGAGGTGTATGACGAGCTTCACAGATTTCTAAATATTCACCGCTGAAACAGACTACTCTAGCAAAAAAAAACTATGGCGAGTGGCCACCCTACAGACCGGACAGGACCGGTTCGGGTGTGTTGTTCTGAGAAACATGTGCGTGTGTGTGTGTGTTGTTCTGAGAAACATGTGTGTGTGTGTGTGTGTGTGTGTGTGTGTGTGTGTGTGTGTGTGTGTGTGTGTGTGTGTGTGAGAGAGAGAGAGAGAGAGAGAGAGAGAG